TCTCCTCTCTCCCCCCCCCCCCCCCTCCCCCCATCCTCCTCCTCCTCCTCCTCCTCCCCCCCCTCCTCCTCCTCTTCCTCCTCCTCCTCCTGCGCGTTCTCCACCTCCTCCTCTGCCTCCTCCGCCTCATCCCATCCCTCCTTAGCTTTCTGACCCTCCTCTCCCCCCCCCCCCCATCCTCTTGCGATTGCTCCTGCCCCCCTCTCCCCCCCCCCCCTGCGCCCCCCCGCGGGCGCGGTCGCGGGCTCTTCGGGCGCCGTCGCTGCGCGGCGACCATTGTCCTGCAGGGGCTGCGCAGGCGAGAAACGGCGATGGGCGGCGAGGGCGGGCAGGAAGAGGGGGGGAAGGAGGTCAAGAAGAGGGGGGCGGAGGAGCGATTTAATATCCGAGTCGAGCTTCAATGTCTGCCGTTTCCCAATTCTGTTTAGATGGTTAAGGGTCCTCGACTCTTCGAGCTCTTGTCTCGTGGCATTCGCCGCCAGCGTCCTCTCCGTCGTTCTCAGCGTAGCCGTCGTTGGCGCAAGAATCGGCGCCGCCATCGTCGCCGTCGTCGCAATCGTGGTCGTCGTCGTCGTCATTATCGGGCGTGCCGCCGTCGTCGCCATCGCCATGCCCATCGTCAACATCGTCGTCGCCATCGCCGCCAACTTTAACCTTCTCTTCATCCTCCGCTCAAGGGGATCGGGATGAGGAGAGGTTGGGAGGGGGGGGGAAGGAGGAAGAGGAGGGGGAGGGAGGAGGATGAGGAGGAGGGTGGAGGAGGAGGAGGAGGAGGAGGAGGAGGAGAGGAGGAGAGGAAGAGGGGAGGAGGAGGAGAGGGAAGGAGAGGAGATAAGAGGAGGATAAGGAGGAGGATAAGGAGGAGGAGGGGGGGGAAGGGGATTGGGAGGATGATCGAGGTAGCGGTGGGATGAAGGGGAAGAGGAGCAGCAGCAGCTTCGGATTGCCGAGGGGGGCTGTCCTTGCCCCCGCCAGCAGCCGCGCGCCCGCGCGCGCCTGCCTCGCGCCAGGGCGGGCGGAGGAAGGGAGGGCCACGCGGCAGGGAGGGGGTGGGGGGGGGGGGGGGGGGGGGGGCGTTTATCCCCCCAGCGGCGGGCCGCGTTAGTCTCCGCGCGTCGGTCAAGGCCTCGAGCTCTTAAGAACTTCTCTCCCGTTCCATGTCCTTCCCCATCCCCCCCCCCTGCCCTAGTCGCATCCCCCCTCCGCCCCTTGCCCCTCCTGCTCATGCACCCATTCCACCGCCGCCCAGCCTTGCTCTACAATCTCCTGCCCCGTCGCACTCTGCCCCCGCCCCACTATGCCTGGGCGCCCGCGAGCACATTGGCCTCGGTCGGGGCCGGATCGGCAGGCTGGCTGTCAGCCTCCGTCGGGGCAGGGTCGGCGGGCCAGCTGCTGGTCGCGGCATTGGTCGGCTGGCTCTGGCAATGCGAGCTACTCGGGTCCGCGGGGCATTGCTCGCCGATCTCGCTCTCGCCGTCGAGGCCCTCGCAATCGGGGGCTTCCTCCAGGGCGCGCTCGAAGTCGCTATGAAGACGAAGCAATCGTTCATCAGGGCTCGCATCCTCTGTACACAGGCAGTCGAGGGGGCCCAGGGGGGCGGTGGGCGGCGCGGGCGAGGGAAGGGCGGGGTTCGGGCGGCTTTCGAGCCCGCTCCATGTAGGCTGCCAGGCCAGCGGCGAAATTGAAAGATGTCGGGGGCCGCGTTGGGCCAGTCAGGTGGATGGTGATCGGGCCCGTCCGCGTCGCCGCCCTGGCCCGCGGTTCGGCGGCGAGCTGGCCGCGGCGACCGGCGGGCCCAGGCAACCGGCGCGCCGCGCTAGATGGACAGACATCCCGCGATTCCACATGACTGTCCTGCCGGGCGCTGCCATACATGATAATTGCTCCTCGATCCACTGTCGCGTCGGCGGTGCATCCGCGATGAACTTCGCGCGCGCTATTGGGGTTCACTTCATGGGGGGCGCGTGTTTCATCGTGCCCGACCCGATGAGCGCCGACGCCAGCCGGTTAAACTCCCACGCCCTGCCTGACCGGCGCACGCGGCCCAGGGGGATCTGATCGCGCGCGCCCTGCAGCCAGTGCATCCGCGGCCCCGCGCCCCCCGCGCCCGACAGCTGCGCCCCCCGGGCGGGGCAGATCCGCGAAAAGCTGGCGACGGCCAGTGGCCCGTCAGGAAGCGAAGGGCCCCGGGCAGTCCTCCGCCCACGAGCGTCGGCGAACCTGGCAGACAGCGGCGCGCCCCGAAGCTCGGGCCCACCCCCCAGAAGCGGCCCGGCCCGACCAAAGTCAAGCCGACGCGACCTCGGGACCTCTCGGGGACAAGCGGGAAAGCGCAACGACCTGCCGCGGCGCAGCAACAACGCCAAGGGCAGAGGCGCCCTCGCGGCGAGATCCAGACGGCCGCCTCGCCCAAAGCTGCCGTCGCTGAGCGAGGCGCCCATCGACTTAGAACGCCCTTGACCGCGCACGCAGAACCACCAGGCGCAACGCGCCGAAGACCTACTAGCACGCTCCTTTCAAAGTCATGAATATTCTGGAGCGCGCGCCTCATCGTAGCCTTCGACTTTTGACCGCTGAGCGACGCTGCGACAAGTTCCTTAAGTGCAAGACAGCCCACGGCTTGGATCATCGGACCCCTCTGCGCGAGGGGTAACGCCAAAACGAATGGCCCCTTCCCCTTACCCTGCCCCCATGGCCTCGTGGCTCCTGGCCCCTGCCCACCCTTCCCCGACCCCTCGTCGTCGTCGTCGTCGTCGCAGTCGCCATCGTCGCCGTCGTCGCCCCCGCCCCCCCGCCAGCCCCGCCCATTCCCCTGCCCCCCCGCCGAAGGGCCACCTGCGCGCGAGATCTGAGAGAGAGGCGCGCGCGAACGAACGCCCGCGGACAGACAGACAAAGTCCAGCAGTTCTCCGCCCGCCAGCCCTCGCCCTGGCCCCCCCCTCTCCTTCGGCCCCCTTCTCTTCTCCGCGCCCCTCGCTGCTCGCTCGCGCTTGTCTTATGCTCGGTTCCTCTCTCTCTCGCCAAGCTCGCGACCGCGTGCGCCGACCCCGCGCCGCCCCCGACCCTGGGCGCTGAAAGGCGCGGGCCGACCCCCGAACGGGCAGGGGCAGAAGGCCCGAGGCACATGTATGAACGCTAAGGGGCCACCCTCGTACTTCGTGACCACCCAGGAATCACGAACCATCGCGCGCTGGGGATCATGCGCGACAGAGACGTCTTCGAAACTGTTCGAAATTCAAAAAGGCATAACCCACAATGCGATCGGACGCGCGGCCCATGCAATCCCCGAAAACAGCGGCCCACGTTCGAGCCGCATCGCCCGGGGTAAAATTAGTATGGTCGGGGGCCGAGCCGCCGAAGAAGCCGCGCAACCTTTCGCGAGCCAATCTGGGGTGCATCGCGCTGCTGGGCAGCCGCCCATGGCGGGGCCCGATCCGCGGCGCCCCGGGGGCGCGCACCCACGCGGCCTGCACGGTTAAGCGGGCGGCTGCCGGGCGGCTCGAGTGAAAACTCTGCTGCGGCGCAGCGCATGGCCCATGGCCTGTGGCGCCCAGTGGTGCCCCTCGGGGCCCCTCTCGTAACCCGTGACGGGAGACCCGCGGCGCCCCTCGTGGCCAGGCTTTGGTTGGTCTAGAACTACCGTCTATCGCGCCCGTCGTCCTCGCCCGACTCGGGGCTGTCCTCGTCCGAATCCGCCTCAGCCTCCTCCTCCTCCTCGCCCCTATCCTCCTCCTCGTCCTCGTTGTCGTCATCGCCATTATCCTCCTTGTGCCCGTGGCCTGTGGCCCTCCCCACCTCTCGCCTCTCCACTTTCCTCCCCTCCCCCATTCCTGCTCCCGTGGGCCCCGGCCCCCGGCCCCGGGCCCCGGGCGGGCGATGGCGGGCGCGGTGGCGGTGGCACCGCGGCGACGGCGGCGGCGGCGGGGGGCGGCGCGGGCCGCGCGGCGCCGCGCGCGCGGGCGCGAGCAGGCAAGGGGGGGGGGAAGGGGGGGGGAGGAGGAGAGGGTGGAGAAGGAGGACAAGGAGGAGGAGGAGCCCACGAGGATAAGGAAGAGGAAGAGGAGGAGGAGGAGGAGGAGGAGGAGGAGGGGGAGGGGGGGGAGGGGAGGAGGGAGGAGGAGGAGGAGGAGAGGAGGAGGAGAGGGGGGGGAGGAGGAGGAGGAGGGAGGGGGGAGGAGGGAGGAGGGAGGGAGGAGGAGGAGGGAGGAGGAGGAGGAGGAGGGAAAAGGAGGTGGAAGAGGAAGGAGGAGGAGGAGGGGAGGAGGCGGAGGAGGGCGAGGAGAGGAGGAGGATGATGATGAGGAGGAGGAGGAAAAGGAGGGGGAGGAAGAGGAGGAAAAAGGAGGAGGGAGGACGAGGAGGAGAATGAGGGGGAGGAAGCGGAGGAGGAAGAGGAGGAAAAGGAGGAGGGGGGCTAGGAGGGGGAGAGGAGGAGGAGGAGGAGGAGGAGGCGGAGGAGGAGGAGAGGATGGGGAGGGGAGGAGGAGGCAGGAGGAGGAGGAGGAGGAGGAGGAGGAGGAGGAGGAGGAGGAGGAGGAGGAGGAGGAGGAGGAGGAGGAGGAGGGGGGGGGGGGAGAGGAGGAGGAGGAGGAGGAGGAGGAGGAGGAGGAGGGGAGGAGGAGGAGAGGATGAGGCGAGAAGGAGAGAGGAGGAGGAGGGAGAGAGGAGCAGGAGGAGGAGGAGGAGGAGGAGGAGGAGGAGGAGGAGGAGGAGGAGGAGGGAGGAGAGAGGAGAGGAGGAGGAGGAGGAGGAGGAGGAGGGGGGGAGAGGAGGAGGAGGGGAGGAGGAGGGAGGAGGAGGAGGAGGAGGAGGAGGAAGAGGGGAAGGGGGAAGAGGAAGAGGAGGAGGGGGAGGGGGGGGGGAGAGGGGGAGGGAAGGGAGGAAAGGGACTGGATTTCAAATCTGGCAGGTCTCATCGGACATCGCCGAATGTCTGTGTTGAAGTTCGAAATCAATCGTTTAATCTGATATTGCCACATACCTAGTTTGAAGTTCTACAATTACCTTTTCCATATAGCATTGCCGAAACTATGGCTAGAATGTCTAACAGACCTGCTGTTCTGCGTTTCTTTGTGTTCCGCCCAGAAGCAAGGAGCGACGGAATTTAGAAGCTGGGACAAGCGCGGGCAAGTCGCACTGACAGTTTTCGTTGTTGCTGCAAGCCTCTGCGGAGCCGTTCGCTCTGGAGCAGGACGGCGCGATTCTTGTTTAGGAAAATATACATAATGACAGACGACAGTGACCTGCGTGAACATCGCGCACTCGGGCAGCGCCAAGAAGTCGCATTGGCGATCATAATGCAAGCCGCAGGTAACGGAAAAAATGCCGCTCCTGAGCGGAACCGCGCGATACAACCCGGCGGCTATCTGCGCGTAGGCGAAGTCGTGCAGCGCAGGAAAATCGCAGTGACGCGTCGAATTGTCGCCGCGTGCCACCGCGGAGCCGTCGCTCCTGAGAAGCACGGCGTGGTGCGACCCAGCGGCAATCTGCGCGGGAGAGGTCCGCGAGCGGTGTAGAGAGGTAGCGCTGGCCGACGCCATCCCCGCCGCATGTCGAGGCGATGCGGTCGCTCATGAACGGGGCAATGAGGATCGCGATGGGCGCGGGGAGGTCGCGCTGGCCGCCATTGTTCCTGCCGCGCGCCACGGCGGAGCCGTCGCTCCTGATGGGAACGGCGCGGCATCCGCCACCGTGCCTGGGGGCGCGAAATGCGATGCCATCAGGCCCCGCGAGGTTCGCAATATTGACTGTTGCGCCACCCCTTCGACCGCCATCATGGGCCCAGGAGGGTTCCAACAGAAACCGCAACCATTCCAAAAAAGGCCCTACCAAGCTGCGCAGACACTGACGAAGCCCTTCGGAGGCCCACGAACCCAGCGAAACGGCTCGGCAACATCGCAACGTTGCGCGCCCTGTGACTCCAACACGCAGCTAGCATTCGGCCCGCGACCTAGGCGCGGCGCCGGAGCAGGCAGAGCTGATCCAGCGGCGACCTGCGCGTAGGTCAGGTCCGCGGGCAGCGCGGGGCAGTCGCATTGACCGGCGAAGCTTTTGCCGAGCGCCACGGTAGAGACGTCGCTCCTGAGCAGCACGGCGCGGAAGAACCCAGCGGCGACCTGCGCGCGCGTCAGCTCCGCTGGCAGCCCAGAGGGAGGTCGATTTGACCGTCAACACTGCTGCCGCGCGCCAAGGGGAGACGTCGCTCCTCAGCAGCACGGCGCGCAAAAATCCAGCGGCGACCTGCGCGTGCGTCAGCTCCGCGGGCAGCGCAAAGAGGTCGCATTGACCGTCGACGTTGTTTCCGCGCGCCACGGCGTAGCCGTCGCTCCTGAGCAGCTCGGCGCGCGAGAACCCAGCGGCGACCCGCGTATGCATCAGGTCCGCGGGCAACGCGGGACGGTCGCATTGACCGTCAACGCTGTTGCCGCGCGCCACGGCGCAGCCGTCGCTCCCGAGCAGCTCGGCGCGCGAGAACCCAGCGGCGACCCGCGCGTGCATCAGGTCCGCGGGCAACGCGGGACAGTCGCATTGACCGCCAACGCCGTTGCCGCGCGCAACAGCGGAGCCGTCGCTCCTGGGCAGCGCGGAGCGCGAGGACCCAGCGGCGACCCGCGCGTGCGTCAGGCCCGCGGGCAGCGCAAGGAGATCGCATTGGCCGTCGACGTTTTGGCCGATCCCACGGCGGAAGCCGTCGCTCCTGAGCAGCACGGCGCGCAAACGGCCAGCGGGGACCTGCGCGTGCGTCAGGGCCGCGGGCAGGGCACGGAGGCCGCATTGGCCGTACAAGCCCCAGAAGCCATACGGGCAGAGATGGTGTAGGGCGTTTCCCCGTCCAACTCCTTTCTCCCCCATCTGGGCGGCGCGCCCCTCGCCCTGACCGACCCCCCGGGGCTAGACGGGGCGCCTCGCGATCCACGGGGGCGCGCGCAAGGGTGCCCAGGATGACTCAGGGAGGACCTCAGCGAGCACAGGGAGGCCTCCAAGTAGGTGCAAGATGCAACGCAGCACGGCGCAGCGTTGTTTCTAAGACGTTCAAAGACGGCCCAAGACCGCCCATGACTCTCCAAGTCGACACGGGGCCCCCCAAACACCACTCGGGGAAGCCAGCGCCCTTTGAAGCGGCCTTGGACTCCTCAATAACGCGGCAGATTTCCCAAAAGAGCCCCAAAAGATGCCGAAACGGGCCCCTTGCTGGATGGGCTGGTGTTTTTTGTTCGCGAGCGCAAGCGGAAGTGCCGCGCGCCGCCAAGAGCTACAGCTAACAAGCCGGAGCCTAGAGTGCACGCGAGAATGAGGAAAAGAGAGACCACAAGCGAGAAGAGAGACAACAACAAAATAACAACGGGAGGTGAGACTAGCAAGGGCGGGCCGCGCGGCGCTCACGGAGGGGGCGCCTGGTGGGGATGCGTTTTGGTCGGCGGCCGCGCGACAGCGGTCTGGCGGCGAGAGGCAAAGTCCGGGGCGTGCGGCACGATGCGAATTTGCGAACACCGCCGCCACGCTGGCAAGCCGGTTCGCACCTGCACAACAAGCGCAGTTGCACATGCACAAAACAAAATGAACTAAATTCCGAGCAAACGCACATAGGCGCCGCAGTGTGCACCGAGGTGGACAAGCGGCAAAGTGTGCGAATCAGAAGGAAAACCGAAGGCTGTACAGGCGTAGCAGGCTGAACCACACGGCGCCCAGACCTCAGTAATCCGCCTCCCAGCGCCAGGTGGAGCCATGCGGCTGTGCCCGAGGCGCAACTGCGATGCCGATCCCTGACGCGAAGAGATCCGCAGGCGTGGAGCACCGCCGTCTAGCGGTGAAGCGCCTGCGCAGCCTGCCAGGGGGGTCCTGCTGCAGCGGAGGCAAGTGGGAGGCCGGTGGAGTGAGTCGCCTGTGGGGCGCCAGACTCCGAACGCCCGCGACGACGTCTGCAAGCCATGCAGCTGTCGCGGATCAGGCGGCGCACTGGCCGGCAGCTGGCGGGGGCCTGGGTGCTGTCCTGCTGCGGAAGGCTGAACCACTCCGTGGCGACCCAACCCCCGAGTGACCACTCCACAGGGCAAGGGGGGAACAAGCGACCGCGGGCCACGCAGCGCGTGCCGGCATGGCGCCAGGCCTCGGAGAGGGGGGGGGGGGCGCAGGCGGGGGCGCACCGCCAGCGGGGGAGTGATGGGGGGGGGGGGGGGCGCTGGCGGTAGCGCTGCCTCCTGCGGGGTCAAAGGGCGAAGCGCCCGGGGGAGCTGCGCTGCGGAGGACACGTGGGCCAGGAGGCAAGCCGGGCCCAGTCCGCAGATTGGCGCTGCCCCCAAGACCCGAGACCCTGCACGCGCCACGAGGTCCTCCAGGGCCGAAGCACACTCCGCAGAGAGGGGGGCCAGACCACGAAGCGCGGAACACGGGCGGCCCTGGGAGGGGGGGGAACCACCCCGACGTCTGATAGCACGTCTGGCAGGCCCCGAGGCCGAGGGCGGGGGGCACCCGCCAGGCCCGAGAGGGGAGGGGCGGACCGCCGCGCCCCTCGGCCAGGCCCCGAATCCGAAGGCTAGGGGCCACGGCCATCTCCTGGGTCATTCTCGGGGGTCGGATCGCAGCTACTATCCGCAAGCACCTGCGTGGAAGAGAGGGGGGGGGTCGCAGCTGACCGCCGCTAGAATGCATTTTACATCGATGGGCGCAGCTACTCGCAGCTGAGGTCCCCGTTGAATGTGCACTTCTCGCCGAGAGCACCTGCGCTGAGAGAGGGGGGTGCAGCTAACCGCCGCAAAGCACCATTTACATAGTGCGAGCCAGCACCATTTACATAGTGCGCCTCTCGGGGGAGTGCAGATAACCGCCGCATAACACGATGCGAATGAAAGTGTGTCTGCGAGAGCCCCATCTATGCTACATCGACCTTTCGTGAACACGGGGGGCGCAGCTAACCGCCGCAGAACACGATTTGTTGGAAAGTGTGTCTGCGAGAGCCCCATCTATGATTGGATGGTGCCTCCGCCTCTGCTCTCAGCGCTGCCATTGATGACGCTGAGCGCACTTGCCGCTGAGAGTGGTGGGGGAGCTGATCGCCGCTATGATGTGCCCTTTATCTCCTCGGGGGTCGCGGCTACTCGCCGCTGAGATCCCGGGGGTCGCAGCTACTCGCCGCGAGCACCTGCGCGGAAGGACGGGGGGGGCAGATGCCCGCCGCTAGGAAACATTTTACAACCCAGCGCTGCCACTGACACGCGCATCCCACATCCTGGCAATGCGCCGGAACCTGTGGATCGCGAATGCAAGGATGGTGCCTCCGCCACCTCTGAACCGACGGCGCAGGGATGCAAGAGCACCTTGCCCCCAGGGCGGACCCGAGCCCAGCGGCAGACACCCCAGGGAGGACAGCGCCAGGATGCGAGAGCCCCGGGGGGAACCCGCGGGGCGCGGGGCGCGCACCCAGACCCCGCTGCAGACACAGAACACGTTGGCCACCTGCCGCCATGCTGGGCGGGGAGGAGCTGCAGCCAGTGTACGCCCTTCACGCGCCTGCTCTCGGCGCAGCATCTGGCGACAGTGGGCGCTGCGAAGGCGAAGCGTGCACGGGGGGGTGGCGAAGGGCGGCCCTTGGCTGCCAGGGCAAGGATGCGGGAGTGCCTTGGGCCCCCGTGAGAGGCCCCGAACCCGAGGTCCAGGCAGGCCCCTGCGCGCGTCCAGGGCGGCTGAGCCCGGCTGCGGCCCCTTTCGCTGACTCCGCCGAGCGGGAACGGCACTTGCAGCCATTGACAACCTGACGGTCTGAGGCCCCCTTCGTTGACTGCCGCCATGCTGGGCGGGGAGGAGCTGCAGCCAGTGCGCACCCTTCGCGCGCCTGCTCTCAGCGCAGCAACCGGTGACAGTGGGCGCTGCGAAGACGAAGCGTGCACGGGGAGGGGGGGGGGGGGGGCGGCCCTTGGCAGCCGCAGCGGGGATGCGAGAGCGCCCTGTGCCCCCGTGAGAGGCCCCGAGCCCGTGGTCCAGGCAGCCCCGGCGTGCGTCCAGGGTCGCGGAGCCCGGTGGCGGTCCCTTTCGTTGACGCGGGGGGTGCAGCTAACCGCCGCATGCCACGATTTGATGGAAAGTGTGTCTGCGAGGGCCCCATCTATGCTACATCGACCTTTTGTTGACACGGGGGGTGCAGATAACCGCCGCAGAACACGATGTGATGGAAAGTGTGTTGGCGAGAGCACCATCTATGATGGATGGTGCCTCCGCCTCTGCTCTCAGCGCTGCAATTGATGGCACTGAGCGCACTTGCCGCTGAGAGTGGTGGGGAAGCTGATCGCCGCCATGATGTCCCTTCTATCTCCTCGGGGGCCGCAGCTACTCGCCGCTGAGATCCCGGGGGTCGCAGCTACTCGCCGCGAGCACCTGCGTGGGGGGACGGGGGGGGGCAGCTGCCCGCCGCTAGGAAACATTTTACAGCCCAGCGCTGCCACTGACGACGCGGGCACCAACTTAGCATCCCACATCCCGACGACGCGCCGGAGCCCGTGGATCACGAGTGCAAGGGCGGTGCCTCCGCCACTGCTGAACCGACAGCACAGGGATGCAAGAGTACCTGACCCCCAGGGCGGACCCGAGCCCAGCAGCAGACACCCCAGGGAGGACAGCGCCAGGATGCGAGAGCCACGGGGAGAACCCGCGGGACGCGGGGCGCGAACCCAGACCCCACTGCAGACACAGAACACGTTGGCCACCTGCCGCCATGCTGGGCGGGGAGGAGCTGCAGCCAGCGCACACCCTTCACGCACCTGCTCTCGGCGCAGCAACTGGTGACGGTGGGCGCTGCGAAGACGAAGCGCGCACGGGGGGGTGGCGAAGGGCGGCCCTTGGCTGCCAGGGCAAGGATGCGGGAGTGCCTTGAGCCCCCGTGAGAGGCCCCGAGCCCGAGGTCCAGGCAGGCTCCTGCGCGCGTCCAGGGCGGCTGAGCCCGGTGGCGGCCCCTGTCGCTGACTCCGTCGAGCGGGAACGGCACTTGCAGCCATTGACAACCTGACGGTCTGAGGTTCCTTCCGTTGACTGCCGCCATGCTGGGCGGGGAGGAGCTGCAGCCAGTGTGCACCCTTCGCGCGCCTGCTCAGCGCAGCAACCGGCGACAGTGGGCGCTGCGAAGACAAAGCGTGCAGGGGGGGGGGGGGGGGCGAAGGGCGGCCCTTGGCGGCAAGAGAAGGGATGCGAGAGTGCCCTGTGCCCCCGTGAGAGGCCCCGAGCCCGCGGTCCAGGCAGCCCCGGCGCGCGTCCAGGGTCGCGGAGCCCAGCGGCGGCCCCTTTCGTTGACGCGGGGGGCGCGGCTAACCGCCGCATAACACACTGATGGAAAGTGTGTCTGCGAGAGCCCCATCTATGCTACATCGACCGTTCGTTGACACGGGGGTGCAGCTAACCGCCGCAGAACACGATTTGTTGGAAAGTGTGTCTGCGAGAGCCCCATCTATGATTGGATAGCGCCTCCGCCTCTGCTCTCAACGCTGCAATTGATGACAGTGAACGCCGCGAAGACGAAGCGTGCACGGGGGGGGGGGGGGCGAAGGGCGGCCCTTGGCTGCCAGAACTGGCATGCGAGAGTGCCTTGGGCCCGGGTGGGAAACCCGGCCCGCGGTGCAGGCAGGCCCCCGCGTGCGCCCAGGGCCGCCGTGCCTGGTTGCGGCCAAGACGGAGCGTGCGCGGGGGGGAGCGAAGAAAAGCCCTTGGCAGCCAGAACGGGGATGCGAGGGTGCCTTGACCCCCCGAGGGAGGCCCTGGGCCCGAGGCACAGCAGCCCCCGCGCGCGCCCAGGGCCGCTGGGTCCGGATGCATCCTTTTCGCAGGCCGCATTTAGCTGGGCAGCAACGGGCCTGCTGCCAGTGACCATC